GGCTTCTCGAGATCATCCAACAGACACTAATAATAGTCATATTGGGTCCATTTAAGAATCCATATGAATAAAACTTCAACAGAGTGAGGACAGAAACTTGGCCTTGTCATTGCGACAAAGTGAACTTTGATTCGCATAAATGTTTCAGCCATAGTTCTATTCCTAGAAGGATGAATGCACAGTTTCATTGTGTACTTCATATTTACACTGACATGTTTACACTTCATCTTCACGACGACCCTCATGGGGAGAGGTGACAGTAGCGTGTTCATCTTGCTCTACTGTAACACCCTTTACAGATTGGTTACAGCACATAGATTCAAACTCAAAGGAGAAAAAGATCATGTGAGAACTATCGCGTTAAGTCAGTCACAGAGGCGGTGTTTCGATATACCTTCACATCAAGTACATGACGTTACAATGACCGACATGAACACCGTGACGTGAAAACTGTCCGAGGCTGTTAATGAACCTGTGTCGACTACAAGATCACCACCTGTCAATTGGTTGATCATTTAAAAGTGAGATGTAAAAAGTGTGTCAAGCTGATACACAGGTGAATTAAAGTACTACTGTAGATTGTCACAGTCTACTCGAGTGTAGAGTTAAGGTTTGTACTTCTCGGTTATATTTACTACGATGAGCCGTAGGACATTAGTGCACAGAAAGGAAGTCAAAATCCCTGCCTTCTTGTGAGACACGGAAGTAGTCCATTAATGTTTACGTCGTTTCAAAAATGCTCCTGAAAATCGTATGAACTTCATGTCTCGTGAAAACTTCACATTACAAATTTGTCATAACTGATCATTTCAAAGACGATGACACATTGGGCCCAGTTGTATCTGATTATTTCGTGTGTACCAATACAAATACGAAGACAGGAAGATGGTTGATACCATGATGATTATACTGGCATAAAACAACATTCATCCACTCACGTTATGATACCGTAAATTGTATTTATGTCTTTTCAGCCATGCCTGCATATTGTGCTCTGTTTAATCCGTCTAACGTGTAATGCATCCACTTACACGCGGCAACAACAAATCTCAAGTGAACATCTAACAATAGGCTTTTCAAATCCTTCCAAGTCATCATACATTTGTTTACGGAAATGAATGTTTCTTTCATAGTTGTTGTGTTGACATTCACACACATGAGGTTCAATAAAAGAACTTAATATATATAGTGAGGATTGATGTTTACATTTTCAAAAAAAATGTTTTGTTTCCAAATTCAGGGTGTGGAGATCTGTAGACACGGAAGAAATATACGGTTAACCTCAGGCCTTCCGCTCGCAACGTTGCATAAGTAACTTCCGTGTTAAGATGCTTGCCCTTGACCGCGATATTTACTCTTACCACATTTATGGCCCGTTTGCTGTTGTTTTTGTGCGTTTGGTTTTTATTTCAAAGAGAAAAAGGTACATTTTTATTAGACATCGAAATAATGTTCTTGTTAAAACTATAAATATTATACAGACGTTTTTCTATAAAAACATGATGACTTAAAGGTTGAAGGATAATTAGATTATTAGAAGGAAACATAGATTAGCAGTGGGTGTACGGTATTTACTCACACTGGCACACAGCTGGATAGGATCGGCATTCCGAGCATTTAACCTGCCCTAATTACCCGTTCAATCACGTATATCATTGGGAATATACAGTTCACCGATATATATTTACACGGTGTCAAGTACTGAGTTTATATTATGAATACAAAAATATTAAATCATTTACTGTAAAGTTAGTGGATGTCAACCACACCAGACATTCAATTCCACCTGAAGCTCGCGGGTTGCAGTGTTTATAACCTTTGAAGGGTGTACTCCTTGATCCCTGCTTTTCAATAATCTTTTAAAAGGGGCTGTCATTACCCGAACCAATACATAATGCTGTCTCATTGCCCGTCAAACAAACTTGCAACAAATGGAACGTCTTATGCTGTGGTAGAATGTATATCATTGCCCCGTAACGTGCCAAATGTCCATTGAAGCTGAACCAGCGTAGCTAGGTAGATGACCTTAATACCTGTGTGTTGATGTGTTCGTCTCAGGTAGGGTTATTGGGGTCGTACTGGAGGGGGTATTTTAATTAGTAGTCATAGTTTATTTCAAAAGGTAATATAAGCCACAGACCCAGGTTACACATCGAGAATTACAGAGTGAGAAAGTATGTTATGATATTTTTATTTATTTAATAATATAAAGTCAGAAGAGTGATTGAGTATTCGTTTACTTATCTGTCGGCAATTCTACAGCTACTTCAGAAACTATGAATGATTCATTCTAAATCGGACGTAACACTCGTTGATAACAACTCATTATCACTGCACAGTGACCACAGTTAGCCAAGCAGTACGATGTAATCACCGGTTCCATTTATCGCCTACCGGGTACCGATGCTACTGCATGTAGAATATACTATCACAGTGTGTATACTATCACATTTACTTGTGTAAAGGGGGCGGTGGGGTGGTCTAGTGGTTTAAGCGTTGGCTCGTCACACAGAAGACCCGGGTTCGAATCCCCACATGGGTACAATGTGTGAAGCCCATTTCTGGTGTCCCCCGCCGTGATGTTGCTGGAATATTGCTAAAAGCGGCGTAAAACCAAATTCAGTCAGTCAGTCAGTCAGTCGTCTCTAGTTAAGAGTGTGACTGACTGTCTGTGTTCACACTGTTCCCCTGGGGTTTCCGGGGGGTACATCCCGAGGCCGAATCGTTTTGTATAACTCTTAGGTATAGTGTCGCATGACGTAAGCCTGTCGCACTTCAAAACAGACCCTGGACTCCTTGTTCCCGTATGTGAGTGAGTGAGTTTAGTTTTACGCCGCACTCAGCAATATTCCAGCTATATGGCGGCGGTCTGTAAATAATCGAGTCTGGACCAGACAATCCAGTGATCAACAGCATTAACATCGATCTGCGCAATTGGGAACCGATGACATCTGTCAACCAAGCCAGCGAGCCTGACCACCCGATCCCGTTAGTCGCGTCTTACGACAAGCATGGGTTACTGAAGGTTCATTCTAACCCGGACCTTCACGGGATGTTCCCGTATGTAAAGTATGAAACTGTAACAGGGTTACGAGGTGCAACGTCAGGGAGCATGTAGCAGACAAACTACCTTGAGTGAAACACTGTTTGATATTGCTGACCATGCACACCCTCACAGCGAATTGTCACAACAATTATTATAATAAACACAATCATTATACTGAAAGAGTGAGTTTGGTTTTACTCCGCCTTTAGCAATATTCCAGCAATAGCACGGCGGGGACACCAGAAATGGGCTTCACACATTGTACCCATATGGGAAATCGAACCCGGGTCTTCTGTGTGACGAGCCACCGCTTTAACCACTAGGCTACCCTACCGCCCCTATATACGGAATGAAACTACCACAGTCATCCTTGCTCAAGGTTCATCTCCATTTAATGTTCACATGTATATGATGACCCTACATGTGGTTATGGCATGTATGACGACAGCTTCACTTTCCCTCTGCCACTGTAGTAGGCAAATTGTATGAATGCTACCGGTGAGGCAAGACATGCTCATCCTAACACCTACTGACATGCTTATCCTAACACCTACTGTCATCACTGACTATCAGTAGTCCATTCATACTGACTGACTGACTGAGTTGAGTTTTACGCCGCTTTTAGCAATATTCCAGCAATATCACGGCGGGGGACACCAGAAATGGGCTTAACACATTGTGCCCATGTGGGGAATCGAACCCGGGTCCTCGGCGTGACGAGCCAACGCTTTAACCACTAGGCTACCCCACCGCCCCCCATTCATACAGCTGTGACAGCTGTTTTACCCTAAACACCATATGGAATCTGTTTCTGGGGATAGCCAAGGCTGGGTATTATTTTCCACTGACTATATATATATATATTTGTATCATGTCGGTCATCGGCTCCGACTTATACTGCCGGAATCAGTTTAAATGCGTCGTGTATCTGCGATTAACGATATTTCTTGCACACAATGAGTTAAAAACGCAACACATCTTTGTACATTTCAAACAAAGGTTCTTCGGTACAGATCGATAACTATTTTGATGTCGGTAATGAGGCTATGTTCGTTAACGGGGTCGGTGATTCTGGGTTAAGTGGGGTTAGTGTATCATAGAAGGGACGCTACAGTTAATGTCATATGAGCCTAACCATGCTACATGTTTCGAGGATTGTTAATGCAAATGTTATCGACATGATATTGACATCATCACCACAGATGTTACACCTGTCAATTTCACATGTAGTGGAACGACGCTAAAGGTGGTCGTTAAAAGCCCCCTTACTTATAACCACTACCTGGGTGAATACGGGACTGTCATAACGCTATCTATGATACGTATTAGATTATTTGTTTGTCATATCTTCAACACAGGGTGGTATGTATCACGTATAAGCGTGCCATTTCAGACTGATTGACAGGTCACGGTGATATTGACAACATTGTTATTTTATCTCTTCAATCTCTATCAGTTACGGATGAATTGCCAATTCCGACTAGTGTTTTTTTCTAAATTGCTTGTTACATTGTGTGTAGTTAATGAACGGTTGAATTGACAAATGTTCATTACTACATCAATGGTGTTCAATCAGCGTACACAATTAGTACAGTCGTACAGGGAATAACGTCGTGTTATTAGACTACAAATGCCGTTATAAATCATGCAAGACATTATTGTGACGTCTTAACGTCTTCAGTGAGGCATCAGTAGCGCTGCCTGCAGATTAGCAGGAGTGTGGTGCCGACGGTGGGTGCCGTGCTAGTATTTGTACCTACTGTAGGGGAAAGACATGGGCTTCACACATTGTATCAATGTTGAGAATCGAACACGAGCTGTCGCCATGACGAGCGAACGCTTTAACAACTAAGCTAGAGGTAGGTAGTAGTAGTAGTAGTAGTAGTAGTAGTAGTAGTAGTAGTAGTAGTAGTAGTAGTAGTAGTAGTAGTAGTTGTGGTAGTTTCATACATACCTCATTAAGTAAAACATCACCGTGTTCTATGCTTGCCGGTCGGTGTCTCTACTGATACAGTTTTATTCGCACTATATATAATAATAACGACCCTGACACAAACTCGCCCAATAATCTGCTTCTGTGGTGCAATGGAACGGGAAAGTACATACCGTTACACAGAGTTACATCATGTGTTTCCGGGACTAGTAGTAGCATCTGAGTAATCGGAGAGGTCGAGTGAGCGAGTGAGTTAATATTTAACGTCACATCGGCAATATCTCAGCCATACCGTGACGAAAACAATTTACATAGTAAAATCAGGGAGGTCGAACTGGGAGTAGCGGTAAAAGGAGATTTAGAAGTCCGGTAAGGACTAGGATGTAACCACAAGTACAGCTCTCAGGACACCAGGACACCTTCTTTAAGACACCGACAAGCGTGTACATCTGAACTTATAACCGTCACTACGTCAACTTTGTTGATCAGTTTGATAAGACACCAACTGGTCAAGTAACCTAAGCTTTGTGCACATTAAATCTACTTGTTATGGCAACAACAATGTATCTCTGACATATACCTATAATTACCATACCACGTTGGTATACTGTATGGAACACTAGAGCCACGGTGTGTATATCTCACTACAAACTGCGCCCCTGTCCCTAATAAACTCCTTTCAACACGACCCGGTATACAGCAGTTATTTGATAGCCTCTCGTCGACATTAATGGTATTTCAACATCACCCGGTTATATGGTGTGAACGTACAGGGTTGCAGACGTTTATTTTAAGTGTGACAAGTGAAGGCTGAGAGGTCCCGTTATTCAACTTAAACTATAAACTTTACTTTTTTATTTGATGGATTTGTTTACACGATTATAACATAGATCTCATTATTAAAATCAAAACTATAAAATTTACATTTTAATCTGATTTATTTGTTTACATGTTTATAACATAGAGTGTGATCTATATAAGAGCCACTGACTAACATAAGAGCTTTCTCATCGATAACATCTTAAAGGATGTAAGCTATTGCTTCAATACACTGTTTGAGGTTTTCGGGTTCATTCAGACACACGAGTCTGACAGGTTGCCACGCACATGCCTGTGTGATATATCTGTACATAAGAGTGTGTGAGATATCTGTACACACATATGCCTGTGTGATATGTCTGTACATAAGAATGTGTGATATATCTGTACACATGCCTGTGTGATATATGTTTGAACATAAGAGTGTGTGATATATCTGTACATATGCCTATGTGATATGTCTGTACATAAGAGTGTGTGATATATCTGTACATATGCCTATGTGATATGTCTGTACATAAGAGTGTGTGATATATCTGTACACATGCCTGTGTGATATATGTTTGAACATAAGAGTGTGTGATATATCTGTACATATGCCTATGTGATATGTCTGTACTGTACATAAGAGTGTGTGATATATCTGTACATATGCCTGTGTGATATGTCTGTACATAAGACATAAGAGTGTGTGATATATCTGTACATATGCCTATGTGATATGTCTGTACATATGCCTATGTGATATGTGTACATAAGAGTGTGTGATATATCTGTACACATGCCTGTGTGATATATGTTTGAACATAAGAGTGTGTGATATATCTGTACATATGCCTATGTGATATGTCTGTACATAAGAGTGTGTGATATATCTGTACACATGCCTGTGTGATATATGTTTGAACATAAGAGTGTGTGATATATCTGTACATATGCCTGTGTGATATGACTGTACATAAGAGTGTGTGATATATCTGTACACATGCCTGTGTGGTATATGTTTGAACATAAGAGTGTGTGATACATCTATACATATGCCTGTATAATATGTCTGTACATAAGAGTGTGTGATATATCTGTATATAATACCTGTATAATATGTCTGTACATAAGGGTGTGTGGCATATATGTACATATGCCTGCATGATACGTCTGTACACAAGAGTGTGGTATGACAAGCTGTTGGGAAGTGTGTACTTCCTCATTGAAACCATTACCAGTGACAACAATGCTATCCACTTACCCCATGATGTTACAGTCGTCTGTGACACGCCAGATAACTCCCGGAGAGTCTGTCCATCATCAGTAGAGAATCCCTTCACATAAGCAAGGCTATACCTATGTCCGATACCATATCAGGTGTGTGAATCACCTGTCACATGACGCACAGACGCCTGTCCATCACCTTCTCATCCATACACAACAAACTTCCTCCAATTTTCCCACCAGGCGACGGAGCGTATCAACAGCAAACCGTCGTCTGCTACAGCTGGCTGTCGACTGGTGTTGGAAGCAGACGACACCAGTCGCTGGTGTTTAGTCGTATCCAAGGCCGGTACGCAAGATTTAACACGCTGGAAACCAGATCAGTGTTTTGTTCTCTCTATATCACACGGGAAATGGGTTCATAAGGCATGTGTTGATGGTTTTTTCAGTGTTTCTTGTCATCTGTTGTCTTTCGCCATGACAATATGTCAATAATCCCGATCCTCCAGAGAAAACACACCCTAGTAACTGAACAATCATTTGTTTGTGTCGCATCTGATTTATAATCTATAAGAAAAAGGCACAATGTTTCTCTTTAAAACGTTAAGAGACATGCATCGATTGTTGGAAATAGTATGCCTTGTGTCATTAGCGGCGTGTGTCGTAATACATGTAGGTACTTGAATCTTTGGCTGGTTTGCTTTGAGTTTTCGAATCTAGCGATTTATAGGGGCTCGTGATTGGTATGATAAAACCACGGTGAGAATCGAACTCGGGCCTGTTCGTAGCTGATGTTGGGTCTTATTACCATTAGGGAAACTAAGAACTAACTCTTGGTACAATAACACATTTAAGTTAATTATGGGGAAAACACTTAGACAAATTTACAACCTTGTACTCTCAGGATACGTGTCTGCGTCTGCGTGCGATACTATCGTCCCGGGATATATTTTAAAACAATTCATCATTATTTAGTATACAATATAATTAGCGCTCCCCAGCAATGTCCCAAATGACCACCCGATACACGCTATTGAGTCTGACCACCCGATACAGGTCATGGTGGCTGACCACCCGATACACGTTATCGAGTCTGACCACCCGATACACGCCACTGAGTCTGACCACCCGATACACGTCATGGAGGCTGACCGCCCGATACACGTTATTGAGTCTGACCACCCGATACACGCCATCGAGTCTGACCACCCGCTACACAATCGAGCCTGGCCACCCGGTGCACGTTATCGAGGCTGACCACCCGATACATGTCATCGAGACTGATCACCCGATACACGTCACCGAGGCGGACCACCCGATACACGCTATCGAGCCGTACCAACCGATACACGCAATCAATTTCACTTGCCCCCTACAAGCAAAGTAGTTTTCCCCAGGAATCCCTATAAGGCTTAACGAAGGTTCACAGCCTATGGCTACTATCGTTCTTTTCAGATTCATATCTCCACATCGCTGTCAGACAAAAAACAAATATTTTGCCAATACGGACTGGAAGTTCTCTCATCTGCACTGTATGAATGTACCATATATAGGAGAGTATACTGTACTGCACATGGGGCATCTACATCCTTTATAGTGACGGTGCACAAGCTGCCTTCACCAAGTATACAGCTTATAGAGTTGCATAACTAACATCATACTTATATATTCTCATGTAGGGGACAAAAGGTCACAAGGTCAGTTTCGATATCCCAGGCTCAGTATAATCTAGGTAGCAATCTTATTACGAACAATTGACCCACCTATTTGTTCTGTATAGTATACAGAGATTTTGCTTTAAGACCCTAAATATATTTGATCCGCATGCAGGTTGGATAATTTCCTCATAATGTTGATAGATATATATCAGTGAAGGGAGCTGTTGTTACCGTCTTCTCTCCAAAATGTACCTGACGTTATTATTCACTCTATTAATGTTTACACCCATGAAGATCCAGGTTACAATTGATGTTCAGTAACCCATGCTTGTCGTAAGAGGCGACTAACCGGATCGGGTGGTCAGGCTCGCTGACTTGGTTGACATATGTCATCGTATCCCAATTGCGTAGATCGATGCCCATGTTGTTGATCATTGGATTGTCTGGTCCAGACTCGATTATTTACAGACCGCCGCCATATTGCCGAGTGCGGTGTAAAACTAAACTCACTCACTCACTATTAATATTTACACACTGTTTATATACTCATACACCCTTCCAACTCACCGCTGTTAAATTAGGGTATATTTTCTGATAGATTACATTACTTCACATCACATATTTCATGCGTATCTATCTTGCAAGGCTATTCCGCATATATTATTCCGAGAATACATTATATTCCGAAACTTTTTAGGAAACATAGTTTTGCCCATTTTTGTGAAAACCTTCTAAGGGGTTAATTGCAGAAAACAATCCATATTACACATTAGAAGCTTTTCCAATATTAATAATAATATGTGACGTATATGTTTGAAGCATATTGTGTCAGTTAAACAAGTACCCTTTTGTCTAAAACATCGGGGTATTTTTAAATAATGACAAGTTGAGCTATTAGTCAGCCCATCATGTGACACATTTTGACATTTTCCATCAATAAATTTAAGACGCGTATTCTGGTACTGCCTTACCTTGGATGGTCGACATATCAGTAAGCATGTGTCGTATGGATACATATGCGTCGATGTTTTCATGGCTCACCACTGTCGTCGATCACTGAGAAATGAATCGGTTGATAAATATTCAACAGCAAAGAAGCATTGATATTAATACTGTGAAATATTTATTGGCATTACTTATTTATCAAAATGTCATATAGAAGGTATACTGACAAAAGTATTATACATAAGATATGACGCTAATATGCATAAACATCAGGCGATATGCATCATAGCCGGGTGTGCCATCTTCTTTACTACTGCTAGCATTGCTGGCTGATTTTGGTAAACAAACGTGTATTTACCGAACGGGTTATGTTATCAACAATCCGGTAAACCAAACAGCCAGCTTGCCACATGATAAAGAGAGTCGGAAATTAAATACGAGGTTAATTATCTCAGCTAAGGCTCACAGCGGGA